AGGAGGCCTTCTACAAGACAGTAGCTGGATGCAGTTAACATCTGCCCAAGATGAGTATTTTTATCGAGACACCATCTCTAGTCTTTACTCAACCAAGAGCCCCAAGGCAGGGGATGTTTAGCTGGATGCAGTTAACATCTGCCCAAGATGAGTGTTTTTATCGAGACACCATCTCTAGCCTTTACTCAACCAAGAGCCCCAAGGCAGGGGAATTTTTAGTCGGAGTTTATTTCTCCTAGCCTTTGCATAAGAAGAGCACACTCTGCAAGGCAGCAGGGCTTGTGGCAGATGGTACTGGGTTACGTGATACCAGTAGCAAGATTGATCTCGATTATCCTGACCTGACCTGGAGTAGTTAAAAGGAGTTACTTCCCGCAACAGTACTTTGAGAAAACCAGGCATGACATTTTGGAAGTGCATTAGGAAAAACACTGCATCTAACAAAATACAGGAGTCTAAGGTGAGTGTAGGTTTTGTAGTTGGAGTAAGTAGTTAGTTACTGAGCTCACGCTGCATTAAAGTATAAACAGAACACAAACAAACATAAACATAAATCAACTTATGGGTGAGTCAACACCGCGTCAGAGGTTCAGACAGAACACAAACATACATAAAAAACATAAAATATGTAATGATAATACAAATTTTAATCTAATGAATTTTTTAAATGTAATAATCATATGAAGTTTAATCTAGTTTATTTTTAGCACAAAAAAATTAAAACAATTGAAAATGAATATTTAATACTAGAAGATATCAGCATTTTATAAAATGCTGTGATCATTGCAATGACTTCACAAGAAGTAATATATATATATATATATATATATATATATATATATATATATATATATATATATATATATATATATATATATATATATATATATATATATATATATATATATATATATATATATATAAACATAAGCATACATTTATCTCTATATAGCATACATATATTTATATATAATATATATATTTATTAAATATTCCTAATACATTTTGTGCGCTTTAATTTTCAGAAAAGACAATATTAAAAGGTTTTAAAGTTTGCATCACAGGGGTACCTTGAAGTTAAAGCCATCATACATGTAAATGGCCTTCTTGGGTTAGCTAGTTTAACATTATCAGGATCCTTGATGATAAGATAGATCCTTGATAACCATGATGACAAGTTATCATGATTAATCTAATCAAAATTACATTGATTTTTTTCCTTGAACATTGGTAATTTTAAATTCCTTCCCACTTTAATGTTTTCCTGACTATTGTTTACAATTTTTAAGATCTCTTGTCAACCATTTTCTTGCTCTATCTACTCTTCTCTTTTACTTTTTAAGTGCTAACTTAAATAGTGGATGATTGCATCTTAAAGTAAATTTTTATTTAAAAAAATGCTTGTTAATAAAAATAATTTTTTTTATTTATATAGTAAATAAAAAAGTTATTTGAAATTATGATGTCACTAAATCACATGTTTAAAATTATGATGTCACTAAATCACATGTTTGAAATTATGATGCCACTAAATCACACGTTTGAAATTATGATGTCACTAATCACATGTTTGAAATTATGATGTCACTAAATCACATGTTTGAATAGAAATTATAGAATCTGTAAAATCTTTTTTAGCAAATGAAATTTTAAATTTATAAAAAAATAGAAACTAAATATGAGGTTTTTAATTTTTTCTGAAGTTTTTTATTGACTGTTTGGGGTTTTACAAAATTTCACATTTTAGCTTTCAGAATAAATTTGAATTTAATCTGTGACAATATCATTTTGTCTTATCAATTTTCCTTAAATTCAAACTTTTATGTGGAAAGTTATATTAAATATTCTTTATGGCATTTTGATATGTTGACATTATGTTGACATTATGTTGACATTATTACATATCAATTATATTGTCTCAACATTTTGATTTGATGACACAACATTTTGATATGTTGACATTATGACATCATCAATTTTATTAAGTCACAACATTTTGATTTGATGACATTTTGATATGATGACAATATGACAAATTTTATTAAGTCACAACAGTATTGACAACTTTTTGAGTTAATTACTTTTTCCGATAAAAATTTAGAAATATTAGAAAATCATCTAATTTAAAATACAAGGAAGTTTTTCAAAAAGCTAAATATAAATAAAAATTATACCAAAACTTATGTTTCATCTTTATGCACACTCAAAACCGACATAAACACAGTTTTGATATCAAATGTTTAGTGTTGCATTATCTAACAAATGGAATAATTTAATTTGGATTAATTATGCATTGTGTAGAAATTACAGGTAGTGATTTTAAACAGGGGGTGCATTTTTAGGGAAAAACATGTTTTAGAAACTCTCCCCTAGTTTATTATATCCCCTAGAGAATAAAATTGTAATTTACACAAATAAATTAAAGAATAATTTATTTAATAATAAATTATGCAATTGTTATATTTAAAAATCAAAGTGTCATAACATATCTGAAGTAGTGTGCAGAGGTTTGGAAGTGTCAACTTCAGCTGAAGCTGATCAGGATTATTTTAATCAACTTGAAAGAAAGTGAGAGAGAGCCTGTGGAGGAATTTTTCCTAAACTGCTCTCTTAACAATTTTATGTGAGTCAGAAGGAATAATTTTAAATAAGGGTTGGTTAAAGGAAGAAATAGCTTTAAGTGAATGGGTTTTATAAAATTATTTTCAGATCTAAAATTAATCAAATCTTATTAAATTACTTACAGTTACAACTCTTTAGTTAAATGGCTCATCAGCTTGCTTTTTGTGTAATAGTTCTATCAATTTAGTAACCATAATTAAATTATAAAAAAATAGCAAGCCTTCTGAGAAGAGGAATGCATTTGCACTCCCTATCTGACCATGCATATAATATTTTGCTAAGACAACTTGGCTAGGGCTTATTGCATGTTATGATAATTTTTGCGTTTTGAAAATGTTCTGGAAAAATAAACTAAGCTAAAGAAAAATTAAAAAAAAAGGAAGCAATTTATAAATTAAAAAAAAGAAAATAAATCCTAACAAGCGAGAAAATAAATAAAAGATTAATTAAAAAAAAAAATAATATATATATTTCATTTTTAAGTTAAAGTGTTTCACTTAATGGGTTATTCATAAATAATATTAGTGTTTTTCCTGGTATTCAACCTCTTCTCCCCACCCCATCTGCCCTTTGTCAAACTGAATTTATGGCCAACTCCCCTTAAAAATTTTGTCAGTTTTTGTTAACCGCTCACCCCACCTTAAAATAAAATTAAAAATGTGTATTTTCCATAAATATTTTTACGGAATTATTTTTATTTTTTGTCAAATTTTTTTTCAAATCTGCTCTCAAGTTGTGTAAATATAAACTTAAAAAAATTTTTAAATTGTTTAAAAATCCTTTTGGTCTCAACACCCACTCCTAATTGTTAGTTCTTGTATAACTTTTCAGTTACCCCTCACCTCCCTCTTTCCTCTATTTACTGACATGATGTTTAGATGACCCCAATTAGACATAAGAAAAGATCGAAGTTTTAAAATTAATTATTTAAAAACTTCAAGTTTTTAATGTTTTTTAATGTCTTCATTAAACAATAAAATATATGTTTATCTATGTGTATAATGTGTTTAATAGACATTAAAAAACATCATTCTTTTTTCAAATTTTTCTTTTTTCATTTGAATGTTTTGCATTTGAATTTTTTCAAAAAAAATTTTTTAAAGCAAAACATTGAAATCTTTTTATCTATCTAACAAATCTTTTTTTTCACTTAGTAACTTAGTAACTAAGTGAATAAAACGAAAAAAAAATGTTCCTGTACCCAATATTGTACTTGCACCTCATATTTAGAAAGTAAGTATTGTACTGTCTGTTGCGCTTCATATTTAGAAAGTTCATCTAAATCATCTAAAACATAAAGTCATGTAGATGATTTTAAATTATAAAATTATTTTTATTGACATTACCTAGTGTGCACAAAACATGTTTAAGACATCTAAAATACATATTAATACTTTTTAATTTGTCTTTTAGACATCATTAACATGTTCTGTGCCCACTGGGTAGTGTTGATACAACTAAATGTTAATTACAATAATATAATCTGTATGGCTGCTGTCCAGTTAAGAAACCGCTAATATCTGCAAGAAATTTATAAGCCAAAATAAAATTTTTAAAAGATTATCTTAGTTAACCAGTTAATTACTGGTCAAAAGTCCTTTTCTCTTATGAATTAATGTGCTATTGGGTAGTGACAGAATTAGATCAAATGTCCAATATTCGACAGACTCAATCTAAAATATCAGTTACCTATTGTGAAACATGGAGAAAGAAATATTATGGTTTAAGAGTGTTTTATTCATGACAATGTGGGCCTCATTCATTGCATAAAAGTTATTATGGACCAGAGAATTTATTTAGATATCACAAAGAATATTATGCTGCCAAATTCAAAGTATAAAATGACTTTCAAATGGATCTTACAATAAGATAATGATCCATAGCGTGACTGATCCCTGATGACTTATGCCTGACTGGAATATTTTAAATCACAAAAAAATCAAAAAACGTTGAATAGTCCTATCTTTGGGAATACATCAACCGGCAATTAGTAGAAAGTCAACCAACAAAGACCATATATTTGTTTGCTTTGAAACTATTTTATTAAAAAAATTGTAATTCTGTAATTTTTATTAAAAATTTTAGTATTTTATTGCATTTCAAATTTTAATTAAAGTTCAGTTATTTTTAAACTTTTACACGGAAGTCTTTTCAAAAAAACAATTAAATTTTAATCGACTGTTAAATTTTACAATTTTTGTGATTTGTATTTTAAATTGAAATAATATAAAACACATTTAATAGAAATTTCATCTTATTTTAGAAAGTTTGTGAAAATTTATGCATTAAAAACTATAAAAAGTTGGTGTTTCTAAACTTTTGCACACTACTGTATATATTTTCTATTTTGTTTAATATATAGAAATTTTATTTTCCAGGTTTCTTGGGCGTCAGTTAGATGAAGTTATAATCAAAGAACGATGTTATAAGTATCTGTGTGATCTATATAATTTGATTTGGGATGAGGAAGGAATTTTACTTGAAAGAAAACCAGATCCAACACTTCAACAGCGTGAAGAAACTAGAATTAAACTTTTAAACAGTCTAATTGACATAATACCATGTATTGTTAACAATTTTTTAATTTATAGTTTGTTTTAATTGTTATTTTATTTACTTAAGTAATAATTCGTTATATATTTTTTTAAGTTTTCTTTGTTTGTTGTTAAATGTTTTTTATTTTTTTAAAAGCTTTTTTATCATTCACCGTTGGAAAAAATAACATCGAAAAGTGTTGTGAAGATTTGCTTCAAACAATACAGTATCCAAAAATTAACAAGTAAAAATGGGCTTAAATTTGCTTTGAGCTTTTATTCTAATATATTTTTTGGTCATTATAAATATTATTATTGATGTTAATTTTCATTATTAATATATTATTAAAATAACATTATTCATAACAACATTCTATTATTAATAAAATATTAACAATATATTAATAACATGTTAATAGTATAATAATAATAACTGTGAATCATTAAAAATAACAATAATTTATACAAATATTATAAATATTAATAATAAATTATTATTAATAAATTTTGATACTATTTTAGTTTTGATAATACTTTATTATAATTATTGGTATTTTTAATAATACATTATCAATAAATGTTAATATTTTTTAACTTGTTTAACCACTTTTTTAAAAAACTTATTTAAAATTTATTCAAACAAAATTTTTTTAAACAATTTATAATAAAATTTTTTAAAAAAATTTTAGACATATCATTTACTCTGGAATTGAGCTAATCTTGATGGAACTTATACCCGAGTTGCGCCATAATTTTATAAATTATGTGTCCACGGCAACATCAGGAAGATAAATAGAACAGTTTTTCTTTTCTTTTTTTTTTTTTTTCAAATTACTTCATGAGTACTTTTTTATTTATTTATTTTTGTATTCATATTTTTTTTTTTGTAGTTTATATATATATATATAAATATTTTATTTCAAAAAAGAAAAGCTTTTTAAATTTTTACATATTGTCTATTTTTTATATATTTCTAGGATTGATAATTTATTAACAAAATATCTAGATGGCAAAAAATGATATTTAAATATATTTTTGAATAGACAGTAAAGTTTTTTATACTATGAGTTTATCACTTTTTGTGCCACTTAAGAGTGTTTTTTATTTTATTTTTAAATAAACACTTTTGTGAGGTCTTAAAATGGCTTGCTCATCTTTTAACATAGTATAGGTCTCATTTTAATATTTGTTTTCATTAAGTAGTTTTTATTTCTTAAACAATGAAGAAAATAATTGCTAAGACCTTCAAGTAAGTTATAAATAGTCTTTAGATACTTATTTTATTTATGTGACTCTGCAGTACTAATGATGTTTAGATTTGCATAAATAATTTTTAAAATTGCATGTAGAAATTTATAAGGGCTCCATAAAGAGTTCTGGTAATTTTAGATCTAAACAACACATTTGGATTTCATATTTTTCTAGCATTAAAGTATAGTATATGTACCTCAGAATCAGAAAACATTTTTGGAGTTCTGGGTTTTTTGTCAAAATAAATTATTTTTAGAATTCTAAAAGTAGGTTTTTAAAAATGGATTTAACTGATATTGCGAAATATTCTAACTGATGATTTTCTTCCTAAGGAAGAAACCAAGGATACAATTTTATGTTGTTCAGTAGAGCAATATCACCAGATATTTAAACAAATGTTTCACGCACAAAAACTGATTTTATGTGGAAAGGAAATGATCAACATGATATATCTTGATTTGATTTTTTTAACATGTTTATCTAAAATTAATAAAAAATGTATATATATATATATATATATATATATATATATATATATATATATATATATATATATATATATATATATATATATATATATATATATGTATATATATATATATATATATTATACCTTTCATTTGCTAGTAAAGTTTGCTAATCTTCTTTTTGTTTTTAACTCTCTAAATAAAAATTTACCTTCTTCTATCGCAAACTTTTTTATAGAAAGTAGATTAATTTATCTGCACTCTATGCGAAATATAAATAATGGAAAACTTATTGTACCATCATATAAAACTCAAAAGTATGGTAAGAATTCTGTTGTGTGTCGGTGCATCTATGAATGGAACAAGAGCCTTGTGTGCATTGTGAATAAGTTCAATAAACTCCAACTTTAAACTCCTTTGTCATCTTTTCTTAATCTTAATTAAAATCAATTTAAAAAAATTCTGAAAAATATTTTGTTATAGTTTTTTTTTATTACTATAATAATTATCTATATATTTTTGTTTGTTTTTCTTTTCTCTTTTATTATTACCTACATATATGATTTTTAAAAAGTTTACTTTATATGTGTCTATGTTTTAAGTTTTATTTTTATATGTTTATTATTATTCATATTATTTTGAAAAATGGTGTCACTCCTTTGATCAGACTTCTATATGAGTGACACCATTCATACTAATCATTAACTTATTATAATAAGAAATAACATATCATTTTACTTATTATTATTATAGTAATTATTATTATTTATAATTTTTTTTGTTATTATTATTATTGTTATAAATTATTACTAATGCTTATTATTTTATAATAATTATTGTTATCATTTTAAAATATATAATAATTATACCTTATTATTGTAAAAATGATTTTAAAATGGAGAATAAATGACTTGTTGTTGTTGTTGTTGTTGTTGCTGTTGTTGTTGTTGTTGTTGTTGTTGTTGATATACTTTTGGAGAGAAATATTTTTGGTAATATATGGCAGCCACAATGTTGTCAGGTGTCTAGGTATAGGAACTTTTTTATGAATTGAACAAAATAAATGTGATTTTCTTATGAATGATTTTTTTATGTTATGTGTGTGTGTGTATTTTTAAAGTATTTTTAAATTTGCAACTTTATGTGCATTTCCTAAATTTGCATGAGTATGGCAGACTGCAGCGATGTATTTGAGCCTTAACGTATGTTTTTCTTTTATTGCTACTTTTACCTCCAGTGTAACACATAGGGTATCTTTTTGTGGTTGGAATTAAAGTTGATTGTATGTGCTATGCAATAGGTTTTTTGTAGATATTAAAAAGTAAGTTAAAATTATTGTTAACTGTATGACTTTCAAATAGTTATGCCAGTTACTTGAAGCTATTTTGGTAGATATTGCATCATAATCAGCTTAACTCCGGATTAGAAGAGGATGTGAGAGTTTTGGTGCTGTTTCTTTGAAATGAATTGCCAATATATCAGTAATAGCACAGTGTGATTGACTTGTTTTTGTAAACCCAAGCGGTTCATCTTCTGAGAATTTTATGAATCTGGATCATCCCTAATAATTAAATCTATATATAAGTATTAATGCGTGTTCAGATAACATTTATGGCATCACGCTGAAATACCCTGCTGCTGGGGGTTTTAATACATACATTGACTATCATATAGCCTGTTGCCGCAACAGAGTGCCTCTACATCAACTGAAGGTTTGGCATAGGGCAGCAATTTTCTTTCATTATACTTTGTTTTTTTCTTTTTTTTCTGAAAATTTTCTATTATGTAATGTAGCAAAAATTATGTAACAATTTGTTATCTAAACACTCTATAGTAGATAAACATATATGTATATATATACAGAGGTTGAAATAAGTGTCAGACATTGGCACCCCTCAGACTATTTTTCTGACCTGTTTAAGGGGGGCAATCAACCATTGTTCATTCAATAATAGTCCAAGGGGGGCAATGTCCAACACCTATTGTGACCTCTCTCTCTCTCTCTCTATATATATATATATATATATATATATATGTATACATTATATATATATATATATATATATATATATATATATATATATATAATATATATATATATATATATATATATATATATATATGTATATATATATATATATATATATATATATATATATATATGTATATATATATATATATATATGTATATATATATATATATATATATATATATATATATATATATATATATATATTTGTATACATTATATATATATATATATATATATATATATATATATATATATATATATATATATTTATATATATATATATATATATATATATTGTGGCCTCTCTCTCTCTCTCTCTCTCTCTCTCTCTCTCTATATATATATATATATATATATATATATATATATATATATATATATATATATATATATATATATATATATATATATATATACATACATATATCTATTTATATATTATATTAGGGTTTGGACAAAAACCGACTTTTTGAAAAACCAGTTTTGTTTTCGAAATTCCCAAAAAAAACGGTTTTACCCGGTTTTTCGAATTTTTCTTTATTAAAATTGAATAACGAGAAATACTTAATTCATATATTATATTTATTTCACTTATCGTAGTTTATTATTAGGAAATAGGATTTTAAAATAGGTTTATAGTTTTAAGTGCATCAAATAACAAATCTAAGTTTTTGGTTCATTTATGCGTTGACTCAAATAATAAAAACTCAGCTTTGGGTTAATGGAAAATTCAATTACAAAATCAAGAAACTTTGTAATTGAATTTTCCATGATTTTTTTAAAATTCTTTTTAAAAAGCTTTACTCTGATGAGCAAAGTAAATTTTTCGATTTCCTCTTCCTTTCTAACTTCTTTGATTTCCTCTTGATCTTGTTGTTCTTGTTTTTGTTTGAATTTTTGTATTTTGAAGATTGAAAGGACCAACTGAAATGACCAAGTCATTGTCATTTAAATTATTTTCGAATACTACAAGGTATTAGATAAGATCATTGGGGTGTGTTCTGTTCATTAGGGTGTGTTCTGATACCACAGTCAGCAACACATGCAAGAATCATAAAGATTATTGTTGGTTGTGCTTAAGGTCATTTTCTAAGTTATTTTCCAAGTTAAAAGAATTGTTTACCTTTTAAATGTTGCTCTTTGATATAAAGGATTTAAAATTTTATTTAAAAATTCATTTGTTAAAATACTTTATTTAAGTATATTTTGTTTTATATAGTGCTATAAGGGTGGTTTTGGGGGGTGTTATTCAATGGTATAAAGATTGTTTGAGTGAATTGCACAGAGATGACAGGTAAAAGGAGCTATAGAAAAAAGGTAATAAAAAAATCAATATTTTATTTTTAAAAATGTGTTATTATAATTGTAATAATTATAGTTCCAACTATTAGATAAAATTACATATAAAGTATGTTGGTCTTACAAAACTTTATAAATGGAAAATTTGTTGATGGAAAAAAATTTATTGATGGTTTTGATCCCTCAAATGGAAAAATTTATGCGCAAATTCCAGATAGTGACAATGAAGAAGTAGAAATGGCTGTTAATGCTGCAAAATCTGCATTTTTGGGGTTGGTCTAGTTTTTGGATATGTAATAATTTTTTATTTTGCGATTTTCTTTTTTGTGTTTTGTTGTTGTTTTTTTTTTCCTTTTTTTTTCGTTTACACTTCAATTTTTTTCTGTTTGAATTAAAAATTTTTTACACTTTCTAACTAAGTATGCATTTTTTAATGATTGGTTTAGATGGAAAACTTTTAGTTCTGAAGCCAGATCAAAAATAATGCTCAAAGTGGCTGATATTATTGAAAGCAGAATAGATGAGTTTGCCCTTGCAGAGTCTAAAGATCAAGGCAAACCAGTTTGGCTTGCTAAGCAAGTTGACATTACTCGTGTTGTTCATAACTTTCGTTTTTTTGCCTCAGCTATTCTACACACATTAAATCAGTAGGTTTTATGTTATACTAATTCTTATTGGAATTTCAAAAAAAATTTAAAACATTTGTTTCAAACGCATTTTTGTAATAGTATTTTTTCATTGCATAGAAACTGTACAAACGATCAAGTTTGCTTTAACTCCTTACCTTACACACTGCACATTACTACTTTCCAGTATTTTTATTTGCTCAATCTTGACATTACAATTCACAACTTTTGTTTTTAATTTTATTATATCCGAAACACTTTTCAAAAGACATAAATTTATTGGTACAATTGAAGTAGTGAATAACTTTAAAACAAGAATGAATGAAGTAAATTAGATGTGAATTTTGCTCAGCAATATTCTAGATTGCAAACTTTATTGGGGATTATAAACTTTAAGTATTTAATATTTGCTGCATGGGTGACTCTAGCAAAAAAAAATTTTTTGTATATAAATTAGGAGTCCTATTCCTAACATTTTCCTGTTTTTCAAAAAATTTTCAAAATATATTTTTTCAAAAATATATTTTTTCAAAAATATATTTTTTTATCAGTTTTTTGAAATTTTGTATATTGTCTTTTTTGAAATATATTTTCAATGATAAAAAAGGCTGTACAATTTTACATCACTATTCTCTAAAAATAGATTGTCATATCTATTTTAATTTAGTATAAAGTATGTTGATTATTTAAAAAAAATTAGACTGTCATCAGAAAAATTTACCTTGAAAAAGTGTTGTGTTACCCTTATTTTTTCAGCTCAACAGAGCAACCTGAGTTTGATGTTCTAAATTACACTGTTAATGTACCATGTGGAGTAGTTGGTTTGATAACACCATGGAATTTACCATTGTATTTACTTTCATTTAAGCTAGCTCCTGCAATTGCATGTGGATGTTGTGTTGTTGCCAAACCAAGTGAAATGACTTCTGTAACTGCTTGGATGTTGTGCAATGTTCTTTCTGAAGCTGGTTTGAATTTTCATATTACTAATAGAAGTTATCTTTACAACTAATGTAAAAATAAATGTTTAAATTACAATTAAGAAAAATTAAATATTTTTATTGTTACCTTTTTAATTCATAAAGTTGATAGTCATAAAATTGATTCCAAGTTGATAGCGAGAAAGAGTTGCAGCACTTTTTGTATAAAAAAATGTGTACGAAATTGTATGCAAATATCTAACTAATCTATACTTCAAATTATGTAATGTTAAAACATATCAAGTTTTACTGTTTTACTTTTACTTGAAAATTGCAGTGCGGGAACATCTCTTTAATTTTGATTTATAGCATTTATTTATCATTTTATAAAGTTTTTTGTTTATTTAATAGTGTTAAAACATTTATACAAAATAAAACATTTATACAAAATGAAACATTTATACAAAATAAAACATTTAAACAAAATAAAACATTTTTAAAGTTTTTAAAAAAAGAGGCCAAAGTTTTTCTTACAGAAAAAAATTGGCCTCTTTTTTTTACATTCAAACTTTTATTTTATTCTTAATTAATCAACGGGTTGAGGGTGAGGATATAAATAACTCAATCAAGAAAAAAATTAATAAATGCATACTTATTTTTTTTTTATATAGAAGTTTAACAGTTTTAAAATAAGAAGTTTTAACTTTAAAGTATTGAACATTAATCATTAACTCAAAACAAAGATTTGACTTAGTTATATTACAAATTATTATGTATGTATGTATGTATGTATGTATGTATGTATGTATGTATGTATGTATGTATGTATGTATGTATGTATGTATGTATGTATATGTATATATAAATGTGTATATATATATATATGTATATATATATATATATATATATATATATATATATATATATATATATATATATATATATATATATATATATATATATATATATATATATATATATATATATATATATATTAGAGTGTGTCAATTTTTGACAGGGAAAAACTATAACTTAAAAAAAAAGATTCTAAATTTTTTGATTAACTCAAAAAATAATAAATATAAATTTTTTGATTAACTCAATAATAATAAATTCTAAACTTTTTGATTAACTTAATAAATGTTATGTTGAATTTTAAGAAAATTGGTTATTTGGTTCAAAAGTCATAAAAATAAATACAGAAAAGGAGTTTTTGTGAAGGGTATTTTTACAAAAAATCAAGCACTTTTTCATATTTTAGACAAATAGTATTACGGCAAAGTGTGTTGTTTTTTTCCAGTTTTATCAAATTTTAAAAATAAGGGGAGTTCATTTTTGAATTTTATAGGGAATCTGAATCTGAAAAAATAAAAAAAAATAAAATATGTATTGTTGGAGGAAAGGCTTAGTTTTCAGCGAAAAAATGACTAAAATATAAATAATTAACTAGGAAAAATTATGAATTAAAAAAACTTTTTAATTATTTGATAAACTCAATATAAACAATGTTGAACTTTATGAAAATATAATTTTGTTAAAAAGTCAAAAAAATAAACACATAATGGGGGCTTTTGTGAAGGTTGTTTTTAGAAAAATTAGTCAATTTTTTCATATTTTAGCCAGTAAATGTTATCATAGGGTGGGCTTTCTTTTCTAAAACTAATGATAAGTCAAACACTTTTGTTATAACAAACAGTATATTATATACTAAAACATTTGTAATAAATATTAGTAATACTGAAATTTTTATTAAATTTACATGTAATTAACAATTAATAGTTTATAAATTTTATATAAAATTTGCGAGTTCAACTAAGCTATATTTTGCATTATTTGTGCCCCTACTGATTTCTTGTGCTCTTATATATCCTACTTGCTTCTCATGGAATTATGTTTTTACACAAGCCTCTGTAACCTATACTAAACATTATAAACAATTTAGTCATTAACAAATTTTTAATAAGTTATTATATTCTTGTAATTGTATAAAAAAGAAACCTGCTTAAGGCAACTTTTGATAGATAGGGAATGGCACAGTCAATCTGGAACAACCATAGGCTTGTGAAAATATTTTCTGACTTGTGGGTTGTGAGGCTTGTAGTAAGTAGTGGTTCGTATATTGAATCTTTCCACTTAATTTGATTGGTCAATTTATCAGCATCAATATTTATGTTTGGGGTTTGCGAATTCTTACTGAAACTCTCCAAACTGAGTATTATCATCTTCCTTTCTAATCTCTAGCACCTTTTTCACTCCTAACTTTCATTCCTCTTCATCTTCAAGAAATTCCTCATCATCAAGAAACACAAAACAGTTTGAATTTTGCATTCACTAATTGCAAACCATGCAGATTTCATTACAGTTTTCATTCTATTTTAACAATCCTTTTTTTTTTTTTTTTTTGATATTTGTGCTGTTTCAATTGGAATAAAATATGCTGAGGTCCATCTAACCAGGAATATTTTACCTTTATTTGAAACCACCAATGGAAATGCACACAAATTCAATAGTTAAAGGTAAATTTCTGAGGTTTTTTTCCGTTATTTTCTTTATAAATTAAAACCTAAAATCTACAAAAATATGACTGGCTGTAGTGAGCCATCTGGAATGAGAAACAGCCCCTATTTCAAGGTTTAATAAATATATTTGCAAGCCTGATTAGCTGAAAGATATCGCAAAACAATAAGTTGTTTTCCTTAAGTTACTTTTTCAAATTTTTTGTTTGCATATTTTCATAAGAGGGACCTCGGCATATTTTATTTCAATTAAATTCCTTTTGCAAAAACATATTTTTTCTTGTTAATTAGTCACATTTTAATCATTTTTCCATTCAAAACAATGCTGACCCACCCAGCAAGACAATATTTTTTTGAATTTTTTTTGCAGATTCGGAATCCATAAAATTCTTCACCAAAAGTAACCTTGCCGTTTTTGAAATTAAAAAGAAAAAAATCAACACATCCTTATATATATATATATATATATATATATATATATATATATATATATATATATATATATATATATATATATATATATATATATATATATATATATATATATATATATATATATATATATATATATATATATATATATATATATATATATATATATACATACATATATATGTATGTATGTATATACATATTGTCTACATTTTAAAATTAAGAGTAAAAAAATAATTTATATAACTCAGTTAAATCTTTGTTTTGAGTTGACAACTAATGTTCATTACTTTATAACTTCCCATTGTAAAATTGTAAACATCTATAAAAAACGGATACTGACAGGATAAATGCTTTTCTTTATTAATTTTCTATTAAGTTTTTATTAAGTTTTTTTTTCAGACCATCTGCAGCTTATTAGGAACATTGACCTATTATTTAATTAGGAAAAAAGTAAAAGTTTGAGTGTTAAATCTTTTTTCCTACAAAAAAAAAAAGGTTGTCTTTTTAATGCGTGTTAAATGCTTAGACTAAACAAGTTACTTAAGCACATTAATAACTAAAGTGTCTCTATCATGACTTAAGTATCTCTATCATGTGCAAATAGCGGCTCATGCGGCTGTTTTGATGTTTATTGCAATTATAAGCTTTTTAAAATCTTTTGTTTGTTATAGTTTGTTAATTTAATATTATATCTTTATATATCAACAATAGAACTTTAAAAATGTTTCAACTTGTATTTTAGAAAAGATTTAAAAAAGTTAATATGCAAGCAATAGGATTTAAACCCCCCTGCTGTACTTTGAAAGTACAGCAAGCTAACCACTTCTGCCACTAAGGCACACTATTTTTTATTTTTATTTTAAAAAATCGAAAAAGATTTGAAAAAATAAATTTGGAATAGCAAGGATTTGAACCACTGCATTTCACTTTGGAATACTGTGATCACTTCGGCCACTAAGGGCTATTGTTCAATGCAAGTTTTAAAATTATTTAATAAACTAAAAACTTTTAAAACGGTATAAATCAAAATTAAGAAAATGTTGCCACAACTCAATTTTAAAATAAAAGTAAAACTTTAAAACTTGATTGCATAATTTGAATTTACATAAGTTAGATATTTGCATACACTTTTGTTCACATTTTCTGATACAAAAAGTGCTGCAAATTTTGCATAAACTTTTGTTCACATTTTCTGAAAAATTTTGCATCACTTTTGTTCACATTTTCTGATACAAAAAAGTGCTGCGAATCTAACTAGGAACTATGGTGTAATGGCTGCTGTGACTTCCATATCAAACACTCAGGAATGAGTAACGGCAGCAATAGCATAAGGTTCAGTATTAAAATATTGTAATATCACAAAATGTAAATGTTTTTTTACAAAAAAGTGAATTTAGAAGACCGGAAAAAGTTTGATTTTTTTTATTTTAAATTAATAGATTGCCTGCCTAAGCCTAAACCCTTGGTCGATGTAGCAATACTCCTTACATTTTCAACCTATTTGTCAGCCGATTTTCTCAGTCTATAAACACCTATTTGTCAGTATGTAAACAGTTAAAAAATTATTGTTGCATTTTTGTGGTTTTTAAAAAACAATAAAATTTAATTAGTTTCCTTATTCAAATTTAATAGTTTTTACATAAAGTGTACTTGATTTTGTCACTTTTAAATACAATATGTCGATCATTTACATAAAGAAACTTTGAAAATAATTGTTTTTATGTGATTCAGTTGTGTTTAGAATTTTTAAATTATGTGCAGTTTATATATAATATAAATTGCACTTAGAGTTAGTATTTAAAAACAATATAATTTATATAAGTATAAATATAATTCATATATAATTAGGATTACCTCCTGGCGTTGTTAATATTGTATTTGGCACTGGTAAACTTACTGGCAATGCTATTGTGACTCATCCTGAAATAAAAACACTATCATTTACTGGCTCCACTGTAACAGGAAAATACATTATGGAAAAGAGTAGTTCTTTTATGAGAAAATTTTCTTTAGAGGTATATTGAAATTTCTATTAAGAGTAGTAATTTATTCATTGGAGGTTTGACTTTAGCTTATTATTATGTTTTTTTTTTTTTTTTTTTAATTTTCTTAATATATATTCATACAATTAAAATAAAGTTTTTTTATAAATCTTCTTTACAAAGTTTAAATTTGAATTATTTTAGATTGGCATCTTATTGTTTCATTTTGTTTTTTATTATTATTATTGGGCAACCATTTTTATTATTAAGTAAGCATAACTATGGATTTTTATTTTGCTTTCATTATTATTATTTTTTTATTTTAAATATTTACACAGGAGAATTGCAGACAAAATAATTTAAACTGCTATTAATGTTTCTGTTTAAAAAAATTTAAAAGGACAGTTTATTAAAAGTGTTAAACAAAATAATTGCTTAAAAGTTTTTGATTGGAAGTTATAGTTTTTTTATATTTATTATCAAATCTATAAAGTCGCCCCATTAAAGTAATATTGCTTATTTGGTTGTACTTCACATTTTGTATTTTCAAAGAGAAGCTATGATAAGAGATATGGCTATTTTTGTTATTATGTTGTATTATTACGATGGTAGTTTATTTGTATAATGAGATTGAAATTTTTTAATAATTTAATATATTTTACACAGAAGTTATATTTTCAATATAAAATATATCATTTGATAAAATTTTCTTAAAAGTGAATCAATGTTTATTATTATATTATTTTTTTAGTAAATCATTTTATTAAAAAACTTCATTTTTAACTTTTTAAATCAGAGTAGTTAGTGACCGAGGTTTATTTTTTATTCGGCCCTGACCCCAGATATTTGACTGGGGTCAGGGCCGGGTTTGATGAAATATAGCCGGGGTCCATTTTGTGACCAGGGTTGCATAAACATACATCATAAATTTTTTTTTTTTATTCAAAGTTCATGTTTTATTTTGTATATATATGCATATATAAACATCATTATGATCAACATATGCATAATCCCATACTATAAATTGGATACAATTAGTTTCATTTAGAAACTGCTCCAACACAATTTGTTTGGTAATCAGCTTTATTAAGTCGGCAGTCCAATCAAAGCTAATGCTTTCTCTCCAGTAAACATTGTTGTTGAATTAACTGCACCATCTTTTTCTTATTTTAATATTTGCTTCACAACCTTAAGTGTAAAAATGGAAATTTGAATAGTGAAATTGAATAGTGGATTGTATTCATACAATCCGTTAAGAAAATTTATCACCCGTTATATTTTGAAGATTTTTTTTAATAAACAAGATAAATTAAAAGTGGCTAAAGCATAGGTGATACCTAATCAATAAAGCATAGATGATACCTTATCATAATCATCATTATTATCATGATGATAATGATAATCATGATCATAATCATCATTATCATCATGATCATCGTCATCATCAACAGCATAAAATAGGAATGCTTAAGCCTGATGATGATGATCATAATCATGATGATAATGATAATCATGATCATGACCATCATTATCATCATGATCATCGTCATCATCAACAGCATAAAATAGGAATGCTTAAGCCTGATGATGATGATCATAATCATGATGATAATGATGATCATCATCAGGCTTTAGCCTTCCTCTTTAATGCTGTTTCTCTAATATAAACAATCTAGAGCATTTTTTTTTCTTAACTAAAGCTCATTTATACAATATGTAAGGCACTCTCTTCAAGTTTTCTTACTTCTACCACTAACATTTTCTACTGAAGCTGCTACTTCTCTACATGCTGATACCTAAATTACTTTAATCTTTTCTAAATAAGTGTTGTTCAATATTGTTTTTCCAAATCTGTCTAAGATTATGCCGTCTTTTTCTTGTCTTGCTTTAGTCACACCACACATCCATCTGATCATCTTCTCTTTCAGCAAATACTAATCCATATAAATACTAAAGTTTATATAACAATAAAAGGATATTTTATGCCAGCATCTAAATAAATAGCAAGCATATATGTTTATACCCATAATATGCATGCATAAAGCGCATCATGGAAGCTTTTATTCCTACTGGAATAAAAGTTTGGAAGTTTTTATTACTTTAATAAGCTTTTATTCTTTTCAATTTTAAGTCAAGCTTCATTCTACTCCACATTTTTCACCTTTTTGAGCAGTTGCTTTATAAAACATTAATTTTTTTTTCATCTTTTTTACAAAAACATCTCTCTTAAGAACAAATATCCTTTTATTATTGCAAAAAAATGGTGTAAAAAAGTCCTGTCTGATGTTAAGCTCTGTTATTCTTAGTTTATTAAATCTTGTATCTTATCTCAGATGTTAGGTTCTAGAGACATTTGGTTAGTCTTAACAGTGTTATTAACTAAAGTAAGTCAAACATTTAATCTCTAATTTATGAGTCTGATTTTTTTACTTCTCCCTGAATAAAGCAGAGTTATTTGAAAAGAAATCTTATTCTAATTTGACTCTTAAGTATAATGGCCGTACTCTTCCTGACATTTAAATAGATTAACTCATTGTTAAACAATGGTTTAACTATCCTGCGATTAATCTTTACTCTGTTATTAGTTTCTTTATATAATGGTTTTGAGGTTATTAAATTATTTCTTTCTAATTGCAGTAATAAAGTTATTCTTGAAGGTCTACACTCTTCTTTATTTCAAGTAACTTTAAGGGTACGGCAAGGTTCTATATTTGCTCCTGTGTTGTTTCTTATCTATAATAATGATCTTCATAAAATCTAAAGTGGCTCTATTTGCTGGCAACTCAATACTCTTCTCTTGACAAAAAGTCTTATTAATTGCTTAGAATAAGCAGCCAATTTTTAATCTGATCTCTCTTCTGTAACAGTCTAAGGCTTGCAGTGGCTTGTGGATTTTAAGTCTGGATTTAAAATACACAATTTTTTTTAGATAACAAAACTCATCAAAAACAAAATAACAAACAAAAAAAAAGATAACAAAAGCACATTGTAAATGTAATTAGACCTGCTTTATCTGCCAAGTTTGAGCCACTGTCCCATTGTTCTAAGGTTAAATTTTTTCTTTTTTTTACAAATACAATCATAGTCAATGCTCATCGAGCTATCATCTCTATAACGATAAACTAAAAATCATTTTTGCTTGGCTTTTTATTTAACAAGTTGCATCTTTTTGCTGTATCTGTCCCTTCATGCAAAAAAACTTTTAATAATCCAGTTTTTTTTCCTTGAACATTAAAAAAACCTTGTAACTCTTACCCTTTGTAAAAGGGCAAGAGTTATAAGGTTAAACTTAAAGTTGTAAGTTGTATAAAAAAGATAACGTCTTTATGTTTATCTTTTTTATACAACGTACAACTTTTTAAGTCTTTAGTTATACGTTTCCTAATATTTTAACTTATTCTTTATTTTAAACTAACTTATAACTTAATAATGGTTGCTTGCAATCTTGTTGGAAGTGAATTAGAGTTTAAAAATATATAAATGTATGCCAGTATTTAATAAATAGTAAATGTAAGCATAAAATTATAATATATTAAGTATTATAAATTTTATTCTAACCCCAGCTATCAAACCCTGCTAATTCCTATAAATTTGCCGGAACCAAGGCCGGGTTTATAAAAAGTCTCATTGGGACCGGAGCCCCAATCATTTACTAACTCAGAGCCTATTTTTTTAAATACAAATAGTTTTGTAATTAAAATTTCTTTAAACCTTAATTTTTGAAACTAAGGATTACATATTATTTTTCTCAAAGCAATATGTATTATACCATTGTATACATTACAACACCAAACACACTTCGTTGTGAAGATATTAAAAATCAGACATTTAATATTATTGGTTTCACTATTACTAACATATAAATAAGATAACCTTCAAATAAAATAACCTTCAAATAAGATAACCTTCAAATAAAATAAACTTCAAATAAGATAATCTTCAAATAAGATAACCTTCATATATATGCTTCAGTCTTGACAAAGACTTTTTGGTTATTTAGAACAGACAGCCAATCTTGTACATGCTCTCTCTTCTGTGATAGCTTGAGGCTTGCAGTAGCTAACACAAATCAGCTGTTTTTTTCTGGTCACAATGCTGTTGTGCATATATTGATAAATGGCAACAGTCTTACTGAGTCCTCTACTTTACATCTTTTTGGATTTCCTTTCACTACTCACATCTCATGGAAACCATTGTTTCCATAAGATGAAAACCATGGAAATCATTGTTTCCATGAGATGAAAACCATGGAAACCATATGTATCAATCTTCCATTATTGATCGTCTCTTCTATTATTCTAGGATTGCATGTTTTTCTCTCTTTCTTGTAAATAATACAATGGTTGCTGCTCAAATGAGCTATAATATTTTGCTCTATCAACCAAAACTGACTTGTCTATTAACTAAGTTGTATTTTTGCTGTAACAGTTTTTATGTTCATCTAGTTTTATTACTCATACATCAATGTTTCATAATTCTATTTTTAAATTGTTAAAAGATAAGTAAAAAATCTAAGATATTTAATACTAAAATATGAAGGATATTTCAAAATAGTATGCCTACTAATCTGAAGTAAACTTCTTATAAATATTGGTTGTCATAGTTATTAATAAAAATATTATTAGCATTATAGTATTAAATATTAGTTGTAACAATAAAAATAATAAGTAAATAATCAATAAAAAATATTTTTATCATTTATATTATAAAAAATTTTTCTTTACTTTGATTTAAATTATTACCTTAATTTAGCTTGGTGGTAAAAATGCAGCAGTAATATTTCCTGATGCTAACATAGAGAAATGTTTGTTAACATGTGTAAGGTAGTTTTTTGTTTTACACATAACTACCTTACACATGTTTGTTAACATGTGTAAGGTAGTTTTTTTGTTTTAGTCTATTATTGCATTTAATTTTTCTGCTATTATGTTGTTGTTTTTTTCAAGAACTTTTTTCTAAAAGGAAGAGAAGTCCAGTTTTTTCAAAAATTGAGTAATATCAACATTCGAGTTCTTTATTGAAAAAGGTACAAATCTAACTATGTTAGTATAAATAAAAAATAATTCATCATCTTGATTTACGATTACAAAATTATTGATATTAAATTTATGTTAGTAAATGAATAAAAAAAAAATTTTTCAATTACAAAATTATCAAGATGATTTTTTTTTTTTTTTTTTTTTTAAATATGTAAATAGTGATCTAGCTCCTTTTAGAAAAATGTTCTTTAGTTGATAAAATATCTAAAAAAAGACGATTGGCTTGAATAACTAAATATAGTATGTATATTCTCTATTTTAGGAAGTTTAAAAACCTTTTAAACCATCTGACTTTTTGATTACAAGATAAATTAGGATTTAACAATACACATGTGTCAATAAAGAATATGGTAAAAAGTTGTAGTGCACAAAAAAATTCTTATAAATCAACTTTTATGTTGATTTTTATAAGTTGATTTGTAAAAAATTATCAAACATGGACACCATCGATGGTGTCCTTGTTTGTACTTTTGGTGTGCATTGTCAAGACAATATTTGGAACCTTTTGTTATGGCTTAGGGTTTGTTAATAGCAATGAGGTAATTGCTTGACCTTAGGTGCCCAAGAATGAGATAATAGTTTTAAATCGTGATCATAAGCACCCTTAGGTGCTTCTGATCACGGTTTAAAAATTAGGCTCTTGTGACTTCTGGAAAATCTTTAATAGTATCAATAATAAAGCCAAAACTGTTATTACACCTCTCTTGTATGGTTCAGGTTTTTTCACCTCACCTAAAGACAAAGCTGAATTGTTTGCTAAGAACTTTTCATCAATATCATCTCTTGATTCCACTAGTTGCGTTCTACCTGATTTAGCCGTCAAACAGGTTGATCCATTGCTTGACATTTGTATCACTCCAGCTTCTATATCTAAAGTGATTTCCTGCTTAGACTCTTCTACAGCTTGTGGTCCGGACAACATACCTGTTATAGTTTTGCAGAAGTGTTCTCTGGAGCTGTCGTCTATACTTTCAAAACTATTTAACAAGTGTTAAATAGTTTTATCAGAGTTTTGTTTTTCAGCCTGCTGGAAAGCGGTATCTGTTATCCCTATTTTCAAAAATTCTGGAGAGCAATCTGATTCGTCCAACTACCGTCCCATTAGTCTTCTTCTTATCATAAGCAAGGTTTTTGAGTCTTTAAGTAACAAACACTTAATCTCTCATCTAAATCCTAAATGCTTTAAAAACTCTTATTCCTCTAGTTTTTTTTCCTCAAACATCAATTCTTTGGAATTCGCTTCCTTCATTTTGCTTTCCTGATTCATATAATTTTCAATCTTTTAAGTTGTCTGTCAATCTTTATCTTGCTTTACAATCTTCATCTTTTCTCTTCCATCAACTTAAATAGTGAAATAATTTCAAATCTAATAGTGGTTGCTCGCAGCCTTGTTGGAAGCGAAGATAATAAAAAAAGTTGTCTATATGAAATTGTCCCACTTTCTCTATGTATATAACACAAGGCTACTAAAAATTTGTATGAATTTTGAACGTTCGAAACTCACAAACAAATTTGAATATATCTGCAGTTTGAAGTTAAATATATTCACTAGACATTCTTATTTCATAATTTGATACTAATTTTGGCAAATTTTTAAATAAATTATATAAATAAAATTATATAAATAAAATGAATAGAATTAAAGAAAATGACAAACAAAAGCTTATTGGAAACTTTTATTTAGATAACATAGAAAAAGGGAAAACATTTACAGTGTATCATTTTACGCAAATGAAAGTTTCATAGCGAGTAATTTAAAATATTATTATAAGAGTTGACTACAATATTGACCTTAAAAAAATGTCGGAAAGCGGCAGAAAACCATATACAATGGACATAAGAAAAATTACTTCACTCACTAACAAAGCTGAAAATAAAGTTGGAATTTCCCAGAGAAAACTTGCATTAATATATGGAATTCATATGTGTTATGTTTATAAAATTTTTAACATCCATGAACTTATATATTTCAAAAGAAAGAAAGCACCAGAGGACTCTGAAGTTCAAATAATTAAACAAAAACAACGACTGTTAAAATTTTCAACAACTTTTTTCTAACCATCAAATGAGTTTAAAATTATCATGGATGACGAGTCCTATTTTATATTGAGCAGCCAAAACACATCATGAAATGATGGCTTTTATAGTCAAGATAAAGACAAAACTGAAAATATAATTAAATATAAGTTTAAGACAAAGTTTCTTTCAAAAGTTTTAGTATGGATTGCAATGAGTAGAATTAGTAACTCAAAGCCTTTCTTTGCAATTAAGAATAATGCCATTGATGCAAAAATATATTCCAAAGAAATCATTGAAAAAAAACTTGTTACCTTCATCAATTTGCATCACAAAAATATAAAATATATATTTTGGCTTGATGGTGCAAGCTGTCATTATGCAAAGCTAGCAATTGAAACTTATAAGAAGTTTAATACCTAAAACTGAGAGTCTATTCCAATGATTTCAAAGCAAAAAATTTAAACCACCTGAAAAAAAAATTTAACTTAAGTTACGAGATTTCAGTCCAGAGTACTTTAAAAACATTCTTTCCTCGCTTGAGACTAAAATCCGCTTTGCTGTTGATTATAGGACACTTTCAGTTATAAGATGATCTATTATTGCTATCCTTACTTATTTGATCTGTTGTGAAACAATATAATTTGAATGAGAATTATAAGCAATTCTTTTTTGTGCAAATTGTTACACCCTATTCTGTTAAAAAAAAAAAAATTCTGATAAAATTAAAGCCAAATGTGTAAAATTGCTTTACTTTTGCAGTTTTTTTTTTTTAATTTCACAACAAAAATAAAAGATAGAGAGAGATATAAATTTCCTTCTCTTTTTATTATTGTTCTAGAAGCTCTATATAATATAAAATATATAAAATCTATATTATATAAATATATAAGCTCTCTCTGTTTTGAAAGTTCAGTGTTAATTTAACATCTATGCAGAAGTGTGAAGTGCGTGTAAAGTGTATAGAAATGAACTTTCATCAAACTTTGTTGATTCTATAGTTTGTAAGCAAAAAGTGCATTATTAAAGGTTAAAGGAAAGTTATTTACTACATGTTTTTAAAGTGTTATGTTGTATGACAGTGAAACATGGTAAATAAAGATGGTTGATGTTAAGGACCTTAAAAGAACAAAGAAGATGGTGTTAGGATGTGGTTTGAAAAAAATAAGAAAAAAATCAATGATCTTAGACAAGAGTGGGCATTTTATGTGGACCTTGTGCATCAAAAATGCCCACTCTTATCTAAGGTCATGATTAAAGTTTTGCCATGTAGATTGTAAAGATGCAGATGGTATCAGCATGTAGAGAGTTAGACTTTTTTGTAACATCTTTTCTGCGATAAACTCTCAACAAAATAAACTTTTAAATAAGCTGTTTTTAATATCGGATTTAAAGGATTTATAATTTATTTTTTTAATTATTAGACACAACGATTATTAGATGTAAATTTGCAAACAGAAACTATCAAATGAGATACTCAAAGTAAATTAATAATTATTGTTATAAAACCTTTATAAAATGTTTTATCATGAACTCAGAAAACACCAAGCATAAGTAGTTTGGTTTAGTTTTGGTGATTAGGTATGTTTTACAGAAATATAAAGTATACGAGTTTAAGTAAGAAAGACTTTTAATGGTCTTCTAGAAGGTTTTAAAAGTTTCCTTTTATTATACATAATACATGTACCATCTCGACTTACCTACTGTCTGTAGTACTAACATTTACACTTACAGTCATTTATACATAACATTATATAAGTTGATTTTTTACATTTGAGTATTACATATTGTTTTTTACATTTGAGTATTACATCTTTATTTTTAATAGTTTTTTAAAAAAATTTTAATTTAATTTTAATTTATATATAATTTATAATACTCATATCATACTCAAAACACAATTCAATACATTTTTTTTGAGTATGCAACTCAGTATGCAATTTATGATTCCCATTTTTGTTGAGTAGAATACTCAATACGTTACTCATCATACGTATTATTTTTAAGTATTTTGCGGAAAAATATGTAATTTTTTTTTAGTGTAAAATAGAATTTTGTTTTTCAGTAATACGATTTTTTACTTCAATGAAATTCAAACAGAAAATAAAGAAAACAGATTATAAAAATACAGCAATTCTTTTTTTTTTATCAAACCAAAATGCATTGTACTGAGTTTTGTTGGTAAAAGTATGGTTTCTTAAAATATTTACAAAGTTATCTCTTTCTTTGTCAGCTAAGTGCTCAATGCTGAGTTCTGTTTTGTTGTATTCTACCTGATCAAACATGCTTTGATAAAACTGATTAAAGGCTTCATAGTCAAGCACATTTTTTTGAGTAAAACTATTTTTAGCATTTACAGTCAGATCATTTTTTTTACTTTTTTTATTAAATTCAATTGCCAAGTTTACTAATGAGCTTAGTCCTAAATTTTTTATTTTTTGTTTTTTTTTTAATTATCTTCGCTTCTAACAAGGCTGCAAGCAACCACTAATTAGTGTTGGAAGTTACTGGAAGAGAAAAGATGAAGATTGTAGAGCAAGATAACAATTGACAGACGACTTAAAACATTGCAGATTATATGAATCAGGAAAGCAAGATGAAGGAAGCAAATTCCAAAGAACTGATGTTCGAGGAAAAAAACTAGACAAATAAGAGTTTTTGGAGCACTTAGGAACAGTAACAGAAAATGGATGAGACTTAATTGAATGACGAGTAACACAATAATGAATTTTAGTAGATCGCACAAGAGACACTAGCTCAATAGAGCAGTGCCCATTATAGTATTTATAGAAAAGAGAAAGAGAAGTAACATTACGACGATGTGACAGAGGTTGAAGGTTGGCTGCAAGAGCAGGTCCAAGTATGTTTACAATGCGTTTTTGCACCTTGTCTAAAAGAGAAAGAGCATAATTAGAAGATCCGCCCCAGATATGGCAACAGTATTCCATGCAAGGCTGGATTTGAGATTTATAGAGATAGAGAATAGAATCCAGAGTCAGAAAGTGACGAGCTCGATAAAGAGAAGCAACTTTAGCAGATGCTAATTTTGCAACGGATTTGATATAAGGTTTCCAAGAAAGATCAGAAGTAAGAGTTAATCCTAGAAGATGAAGGGTAGAAGACTCATCGAGTACATTACCGTTCATAAATATAGGAAGGTCTAAACTATTGTGATAACCATTGGCCGAAAAAAATTGAGTTTTATCTGAATTAAAGTTCACCAGCCACTGTGAGCCCCATGCTGTAGCAGAAATGAGATCTTTTTCAAGCTCAAATGCCCCCTGCAAGCAATCAGAGGGAGTTGGCTTCTTATCGTGACAAGAATAAATGGTAGTATCATCAGCGAACAATGCCACCTTAGATGTGAGAATGTCTGGAAGATCGTTAATGTAAATTAAAAAGAGTATAGGGCCAAGGATTGAACCTTGGGAAACCCCTGAGGTCACAGAATAAGAAGAAGAGTGCTGTCCATCAAGGACAACACTCTTTGACTGTGGCTTTAGCTATCGGTCTTTGATGCCAGAGTTAAAGTCTAGAAACATTTATAACTGCAGCAGCTGCATAAACAGCAGATTTAAGCTCATGAATTCAATGTTTTCTTTTACATTTTTTATCAACGATTTGAAAAAATTATTTTATTTTTTCGTCTTTTTTACATTGCCACATTGCATTTCTAACAAATGTAAACGTAGTACCAAATCATCAATACATACGCAATTTCTCTGATTCAAAAGTGTAAATCTATATGCTGGGAGCATCATTAATAAATAGAGTTCAATCTCTGCTCGAGTAACTGGACATTTTACTGTTTCATAATAATTTTTTTGATATGCTTTGTGAAAACAAATCAACATTAAAAAGCTTGATGACCAATGAGTTAAATTTTCATTTCTTAAACTTTTTTTTTTTTGTTGAAATATTGGAGCAGTTTTAATTGTCTGATACGTCTGTTTAGCAAATGAACAAAGCAATGACAAACAGTTTTCAATTGTTTGCATTTGACAAAACAGTATTATGTATAGAAATATTAAATTTGTGTTTTTCCAATGCAAATTGAGGGATTTTTCTGCTGCTGAGTTGATCTATAATACTATGATCCCCAATTTCATAATTTTCATTATCATCAACTGCAGTAAGATCAACCTTAGCGTCAATCTCATTAGATAGCTTGCTTAATTTAATATCTTTTTGAATTAGATTTGTTTCTTCAGTAAGCAATTTGTTTATTTCAGGATTAATTTTTTTTTCAGTTGAATCTTTCAGTTCCTTGTCATTCTCATTGCTATCACCATTTTCAAAAAAGCCTTCCCAAAAATCTTCTTCAATCCAATCACCAAATCTAAGTCAAAATTTAGCATTTGAGGAAAAGCTCTGAGAAAACTTTACCACCATCGCTCACATAACCATCAACTTAAGATTTATCGAAATCATATTGATTTAATAGTTCCGAATTTATTATTATTTATTTTAAGCATTATGTGAACCATTCATTCATTGTAGAACAAGAACTATTCTTTTTTTATTGAAATCGGCAAAAGTAAACTGGTAGCATAAGACCAAAAAATCAGCCATTTAACGGCTATCCCAGATGTCAGCTAATAATGTAACACAGTTATGAACGTTTTGGCTTTTCAAAGGTGTTTGGTGATTGGTTTTTATCTTTTCAACTACATTAGTAATAATGTTAAAGACAAAAGACTTCTCACATGGTAAATTAATTTTATGACACTCTAAATGTCTTTTTAGATGCAAGTTACCCAGCTCTTGGGTCGCCATATATGAGATGATATTACATATTTAGTTAGATCCATGATATCGTCATTTAAGCGCAAATTATCTTCGTTATCAAGACTTATATCATCACAAGCCATTTTCCAAGCCATAAAGTCTTTTTTGCTGTTACATTGTGTTGAATTAAAAAACTTTAAAAAATCCCCACTTCTACCAAGTGGCTTATGTTTACACTTTATAGCGATAATGCAGCTAAACTGTAAGTTTTTCAATGTCACTAAATTTGAAAATGTTATGCGGAAATACGCAATACGCCAAAAAAAGTGTGTTCTGATGTTTGCAACGTATTAAAAAAATATTTAAAAACTGCAATATTTTACTAAATAAAAAAACCCGCAAGTATAAAAATTACATTTAAATAAGTTAAAATTTTTAAAAAAATTATTGTAAAAACAATTATTATAATTCTAATGTATAATATGTTGCTATGCAATGCTGCTATGCAACGTATATTTTCCAGCGCAAAATAGTTGTGCTGATTTAGAGTCTTCATTTGAAAAATGTTGGATAAATACGATTGATATAAAAAGTTTTTAAAATGGATTTTTTTACAATCTCCAGTGGCTCAGTGGTTAAGTGTGCTGCCCTCAGTGCAGACATCCTAATGTTTTTGTGGGTTCAAATCCATCATATAGTAAGAAATTTTTTGAGGGATTTTTTTTAATCTTGCTGTTCTTTTTAATAAAAAACAGCAAGATTGAAAAATCATTACTTATACAACCCACAAATTTAACTTAACCTACTGCTGTTTGTACATAACAAAAGCTGTACAAATGGAATTTTTTCATTTGCGTTATTTTAAATGACATTTTGCTATTAATTTACGTAAGTCACATATTTACTTATTTGTATATAAGTTTCCTCATTTTCTTATAAAAAAAAGTTATCAAAATCTTATTGTTATTCTTTTTTATTTATTTATTTATTTTTATTTATTTATTATCCTCCAGCTACATGCCAAAATGCATGAGTTGGCACAACAGGTAAAGCTATTAATTTATTTATTATAGAGATATATCATACAGTACATTGTTGATTATTTTTTAAAAAGGTCAGCTTTTACAAATCAAGGCGAAATTTGTTTATGCACCAGTCGGTTGTTTGTTCATCAAGATATCTTTAAAATGTTTTGTGAGCGTTATGTTTCTTTAATAAGGTATGTACATAGGAGTTTTTATTTCATATACTTTTTAAAATACAATAAATAGTGTTTTTTCAGGAATGCAATGTGAAGTAATTTAAAATTTTCAAGTTTGAGCTTACACACAGTTGTTTATTGAATAGCGTGCCATATTTTGACTAAATTGAATTGTTTTTTGTTTATTAAATAAGACTCAAAAAATTTATTTTGATGATTGATTGAATTTTTAATTCAATGGCTGTTTTTTAGGTTCATCAGGCTTGAACCTTATGAACCTAAAGGAGGAGAAACAGTGTTGCAGTAAAAAATTAGATGGATCACTAATTTATATATATATATATATATATATATATATATATATATATATATATATATATATATATATATATATATATATATATATATATATATATATATATATATATATATGTATGCATATATATATATATATGCATATATGTATACATATATATATATATATATATATATATATATATATATATATATATATATATATATATATATATATATATATATATATATATATATATATATATATATATATATATATATATATATAAAATTGATATATGTAAGGTAGTTATTTCAGTAGCGTCATGGGTAACATTTCATGCAAGTTTTTTTGTTCTGTGTTGACGAGACTGGATTACACATATCTCTTTAAAGAAATAAGATAAAGCAAAAAGGAAAAATGTTTTAGAAAGTATTTTTAGTTTAGTTTTTAAATATATAATCAGTTGTTGTCAATTAAACCATTTCTTCTGACTTTATCAACTAAGCCTGGTATAGATTGAGCTGGTCTTTGTATGAGCTCAATATCAATTTTTATTAAAGCAATTTCTGCATGCAATTATTCTTGTAGACAAGGCCTTTTAAAATACTCCAAAAATTTTTGATAGGGCGACATTCTGGTTTGCAGGTTATCCGCTTTCTCAACATATTGCACATTTTCATTGTTTAGGTACATGATTACTGTTTTTGCATAGTGAGTTGATGCTAAATCTGGCCAGAATTCATATGCACCATCTGAATGATACTTATTTATGAATGGAATAAGTCTCTTCCTAATACATTTGTTTAAATAGATTTTTTGATTTACAACCAGTCCACTTGAGAGAAAATAAGGTTGAGAAATTCCATTTTCAAAAAAAGCATTCCATAAAAGTAATTTCTTTTAAAACTTTTGTTTTGTTTGGTGTTTAACTGTGGATGGAGTAGATTTTACATCACTAGTATAAAATATATCATTTCCATTGATACTGGAGTGATTTAACGTGAAATAAGACTAATCGTCAATGATGGGTTTAGGATTTTTGAATTTCTGACACAATTGGCTGTAGTTAGTTTTAGCTACTGCTTTTTGCTGGTCAGAGCATTTTGGAATCGTCATTTTTTTTTTTGATTTAATTTTTGTTCTTTTTTTTAATGTTTTACTAATGTGTTGCAAAGTACAGTTGAACTTTTTAGCTGCCTTTCATTGAGAAACTCCGTCCTTATGGTCAAACATGAGTTTGAGCCTTTTAATGTTTGTCCTGGTCATTTTTTTAGCTTTTACTCCACTTCCTTGAACTCTTTGGTACCCAGATTCACTTTCAGCACGTTTAATCATCTTGTAGATAGTACTTTTAGGTATATTCTTAACTTTAAAGTGGTCTTAAGTTAACTTTTTACCAGCATTTTTGTAATTTAAATAACATTCATACACATGTTTTCTAATCTCTTCTTGTTTTGAATTTATTTTTTTATTAATTTTTCTATAAAAAAATAAAAACACATAAAATATTAAAAAACTAGAATAAAAATACCTTCTAAAACAGTTTTCCTATTAAAAAACCTTTAATAGGAAAATATATGTGTCTTTTAAATCCAGTCTCGTTTTTTAGTTGCCACCTGTTTATATACAACATTAATATTACCTAGTGAAATTAAAAGAAAATTCAAGAGTACTATAATCAACTTTTAATCAAAATGTACAAAAGAAATATTTTTATTAACTGTTTTTAACATGCATAAAAAAAAAGGTTTTTATAAAATATTGTAAAATTTATTTATTGCAAATGATTTTTTTAATATTATGTAATCAGTTAAAAAAAAGAGTTAGGTGTATTGTTTTGTTTGTAAAATTTAGAGAGCTTAAAGTTGGAAATCCATGTGATGCGTCTACAAAAATAGGTGCTTTAGTGAGTAAAGAACATTTAGAAAAGGTTAGAAAAACTTTTTTATGTTACTATCTAATATCTTATATCCTATCTCATATATCTAGATGTGTGATTTTTATATTTAAATATAAAAGAACATTTTTAATTTATATATTTTTTTGCACATATTCACTTCTAAAAATGGGGTGACTACAAGAAGTATACGAAATAAAAGAATATATTTTTGTTAACTTTTATTTCAATTTCATTTCTATACTTTTTATTTGTTTATATTTATAAATAAAATATATTAAGCAATAGTTAATAATTAATAGCAGATGATAATAATGAACATAAATAAAGTTTAGCAACTAATAAAAATATTTATTAAATAAAAAATAATATTGATATGTTGTCTTTATTCACCATTATTCACTATTATTTTATGATGATGTTACTATAATTTAACTAGGTTAAGACTTACATAAAATATGCAATTGAAGATGGTGGAACTATATTATGTGGAGAAACAATTGATTGTCTGGATTTGCCAGAAGAAATTAAAGAAGTATTTACCTTAACATTGTTTATTATGATGTAAGTCTATATATATATATATATATATATATATATATATATATATATATATATATATATATATATATATATATATATATATATATATATATATATATATATTAGGCCGGATCATAAAAATTAAGTTGCTTTAAGAATTTAAGAAAAGTGGCATGATATAGCATTGTTTACTATTAGCAAATAAAAACTTGAATAAAATTTGTTTGTACTTTGTGTTTTTAAGTTTTTAAGTATATGTGTATTATTGCATAATTATGTAATTGTATAACTATAAAAAATATTTACTAGTTTTCGATTTACACATAATTTTGCCTATATTGTGGGACCAATATTTAGTTTATGTGTATTTTATATGGATTTGTAAATATTAGTAAGTGTAATAATCTATATCCTGTAGATTATCTAATAACTGAAATTATTTTGTTATTTTATTATAAGTCAATCTCAAACTACATATGCAAACTAATGAACAGCAGATATGTCTGCAAGCCAGACACATAGTGTACGATACGTGCAAAATCCAAACTATACACTAAATGTTCACTGGGCCCTGATCCTTGTCTATCAACACGCCATCTAGCTGATGCAACATTGCTAAACACAGGTGAATAATCAAACAACCAATTAGCGATTAGACGATTAGATCGACGAAGGAGCGACAAAGGAGGTTACAAATATACAGGCCATAGAACACATACAAGCCACCGTCACGTAGCTATCATGTGAACAACAAACACTCATGACAGTAAGATTTAGGCAATTTTAAACATTATTTTCTATGAATGTTTGGTGTTTAAACTTTAAACTATTAGTTTATGCAAACTGCATAAATGCTTGTAGTTTTATATTTAATTGTAATTTTTTGTCTATTTTTTGCATTTACAGAAATTAATTCAAATTCTAATCTATTTTAAAAACTATGAAACAATTATAATGTTATCAAGATCAGCAGCTGTAAAAAATTGTCATATATTTTTTGGTGAAGCTCACGAGTTACCAAATGTTTACTTGCCAACGCACAAGCAGGTTGGCAAAGCATACTTGTTAGAAAAGAGTTATGAAACTGAGCCACTGCGAACTGTCTTTAAAGGACTGGCTGATAAACTCTTGCAAGTATGGATTAAAATGATAGAAACATCACATTTTTTTCCTGTGCAGTACAGAATTGTGGTTCAGCAAGTTTTGAAGTGTAATAGCTATCTAGCTCATATTGAGAGCATTATTCTTGCTATGTTGAAAGACAAGTAATTTGTAGACTTGCTCTGAAAAGAATTCTACATGTACGGGAAAATGAAATACCAAATTGTAAATTCCAAATCCCTGGAATTAGACTTCAAGCAACAAGCTATGAAGAGCTGATTGATTGGCAAACTATTCCCCGCTTGGAACCCGTTTTGACAAAACATATTTCTACCACACAAATATAGGCCTGGCTTCAGTCAGATGAAGATATTGTTGTTGATATAGAACCTTTATTTACTTGCCACAATCAAAGTGTTGAACGTTTAATAAAAATTGTCACTAAATCTGCATCTAAGGTTTATGGTTATGATAGCCATGATGGCTATATTTGCGTTCTTTTGGAGCGCCGAAAATTAATGCCACGCTTTGATACTAAGTCTGAATTCAAACAGATTTAACTAAAATGTTATAACTGTTGTTAATTGATAATATGAAAATCATGCATTATTGACATAATTTGTTTTTCTAATAGTATTAAGTGTTCAATAAATAAATGATGAACTAAATATTCAATAAATAATATGTTACAAAATGGCATTTTAAAGTAAATTTTCAAAGACAAAAACGCAAAGTATAGCAAAGTAGTAGAGAAAAATGGTTTGCAGAAAAAGATTCAGTATGTTTGAGAACCACTAAATGCATATTCTCTAAGGAATTGATCAAAATTTTTGAAGTTATGATCCAGCCTAATATATATACATATATATATATATATATATATATATATATATATATATATATATATATATATATATATATATACATATATATATATATATATATATATATATATATATATATATATATATATATATATATATATATATATATATATATATATATATATATATATATATATATATATATATATATATATAAAATTAATTACAAATTACAATTTTCATAAATTTTTTTTAGGGTTATTATTTTCAACCAACAGTTTTGGTAAATTTATCAGATATGTCAAGGTGTATGCAAGAAGAAATTTTTGGTAAGATATTTATAAATCGATTCCACCAAGTAACACAAGATATAAAACATTTATAAAAGCTATTGAATGTCTATCGCTTAAAATTTTTTTTTTTTTAAAGTTTTTTTGGTAAAATTTGATTTGCAAACTAGTAAAAAATTTTATGCAAACCAAATGTTATATTTTAAGGACCACAAATATTTTAAACATCTTAAATGTTTTATTAATTGAAATACTTTTATATTTTAATATTTTATATTTTTTAATATTTAACTTTTGATTTGTTATAATATAAACACATTATAAATGTGTTTATATTAGACACTGTTTCATCGACATGTAACTGCTGTGTTTAATTGTAGACCGACCTGATGTGAAAAATTATTTGTTAATTTTCTATTTACTAAAGAGCATGTTCATATTTTTTCAAAGTAAATATGAACATGCTTATATTTCATACTTATATTTCATACTTATATTTCATATTACTTAATATAAAAATAGGTAATAATATATTTATTAATAAACATTTGGTTTGTCAAAACTTTAAATAATTTTATCTATTTCTTCTAACTTTCGCACCAAGCCAGTAGCTAAGACAAATAATATCGTTCACATTTTAAGATGATAAAGTCTCTCTTCTTTTGTACAATATGACCAGCAAAAAGAATTGTAATTGGATGGATGTTGGATGTTGGAGGTGTGGCTAAGTATTTCTGTGCAATTGAGGTAAGCCTGCTGTGTGAGCATGCATGTTTAAACCACCACTGTTATGCATAGGCCTCTGTATTGATTGTGAGTTCTGCTCTGTATCAAAGCACACCATTCTCAATAGAGTCTTCACCAGTCTTCCTCATGTTCAGAATCAGATTCTGATTAAGCAAACAATAGAGCAAACTTTCTCTTTGATAACTTCACCTCAAAGAAAAAGTCACCTCATCTCAACTCTGGGTCTGTTTACTTTAGGTCTTTTAATCTCAGGTCCAATGCAGGTTGCAATCTTTAGAAATGCAATGTTGGCATTTTCCTTGTGTGTCTCCATGTCTTTTCTGAATGTAGACTTGAATTTGATCACAGGGTTATCATCTAAGCTCTTCATCACTCGAGAGAGACAGCAAAAAGGAGACAGAACCACAGAGCATGAAATATTATTTTCTCCACCCAGAAGTTCAGTCACATACCTGCAACAAATCAAACCCATTTCACTCAAATGTTTTGCATTCCCTTATACACAAAAAATGTTTTCATAAACATACTTACACATACATACAGGCACATTAATTCTCTCTCACATGCAATCAAACCAGTCTGTAAGAAATATATGACGTAAAATATACCTGCAGGGCTCCAGTAGCTTTTCCAAACTATGTAGTTTGTTCATTTCAGCTGATGTTGGCATAGCAATCTTTGTGTTGTGTGTGGTGAAGATATTTCTTAGTGGCTGTTCATTTCACTTTTTATTATGATCATATTAATATTGAGTCGAATTCCGTCTGGTTAGAATGTCTTGTATAAGCGATTCCTTGGTTTTTTCAAACTTAGTTTTTTTTTTTTTCTAATTCTGCAGCACTTTCTGGGCTGTGTTTAAATGGCCCACCCCTTTACTGCATTTGGCCAGGACATTGTTAAGCGTGCTGTTGTGTATAGATACTGTGACAGAATGCAGGAGACTGTGTGTGACGCACAGGTCGCGTTCAAAAGGCAGTTATCTTGCAGCAGCAACTATATTTCTTGCATCATCTGTGCTAAGTATTCTGAAATGTCATACTGCTGTGCAACTTGAATAAAATGTTCTGCGCCCATTTCAGAAAAAAGTCTTTCTTGTATTTTCATTACTTTCAGAGCATGTGAATGCATTTTAAATTATTCATCAATGTAATGCACAGTAACTCTGATGTAATACCCAGCAATATTTTTTTAATTCAAATTCAATAGTTCTCTAAACTAAAGATTAGACAGGTCTGTTTTTAAATTTATTTTTGGAATTTCAAAATATAAAGTACGTTAATGCACAATAAACTAATTGTTGGCGTTAATTAATTATTGCGTTAATGCGATAAAAACATGTTAATTTGCCATCCCTAATTTAAAAAAGCATTGATTTTGCCATTAATTAACTAATGCATGATTAATTAATGAGTTCTAATAATTAAATAATGCATGTGGGTATGACCCTGAAATTAAAGAAAATGTCTAATTTTAAAATACAGTTTAAAAATCTCTTCACCGCATTACAGTTTGTGTATTTTAAATTTCTTTAAATTTAAATTTAAATTCATAGATTCTATAAAATGATTGATTTAAACAATATAAATAATTAGCTAATAATTTCACATAAACCAATAACTTTTTAAGTTGTTTGTTTTAATATTTTCCTTACATTGTATGCCAACGATACAAAAATTATTTTGGTAATTACAATATCAACGGTAACTATACAATGCGAGAGTATTTATTGAACCTTAGTAAATGGAGTAAAAAATGGTTATTACACTTTAACAACAAAAAATACAAAATTATGCATTATAGGGAGAAAAAAAACCTTGTTATAATTATTATATGAGCCAATCGACAAGCAATGAAAATCATTACACTATGATAAAAACATCTTTGGAACAAGATTTAAGGGTCCTAATATCTAATGATATAAAATGGAAAAATCATATAGATATGATTGCAGTAAAAGCAAACAGAATACTTGGTCAAATAAAACGTTGTTTTATATACTTAGATAAAGACCTAATGAAACTGCTATATTGTTCGTTAGTTTGACCTCATTTGGAATTTGCTTCACCAATTTGGAATCCTTATTATAAAAAAGACATCAATAAAATAGAACAAGTACAACGAAGAGCAACAAAAATAAGGTGTTTAAGGTATGAAATATGAGGAGCAATTAAAAGAATTTATATTGACATCATTAGAAAAACAAAGAGAATGGAGCGATATAATAGAATATTATAAAATTCAAAATGACATTCATAATGTAAGTTAGAGATACCCTCCAATAAACAAATTATATCCAAAATTAAGAGGTAATCAACGGTTGCAGAAACAAAATGTTTATATTTCGGATGCATTAACGCATTACTTTACTAATAGGATTTTTAATAAATGGATCAGTCTAACCTATGACGTTGTTAACTCTGTTAATTTAAATACTTTTAAAAATAAACTCAAGGAACATGAGAAAGGCAATTCTTAATAAAAATTGGATTGTTATTATTTTATTATATCACGAATTTCATTAGTGTTTTTCATTTTACTGTTAAAGTCATGCAACTACAGTTGAGTGGCTCACATATTTTTTATATGTACAGTTAGCATTATTCTTATTCTTATTATTATTATTATTATTATTGCTATTATTATTGCTATTATTATTATTATTATTATTATTATTATTATTATATTTACTCATAAATTTTTATGTATTCATGAAAAAGAGTTGAAGAAGCTGAAAATTAATTTATAGTAAACTGAATAACAAACTGAAAACATGAAGGAAAATAAGAAATAAAATTATAACCCAATGTTTTTTCTTTTTTTTTAATTGCCATATGAATTAATTTCAAAGTTTTATAAAATATTAACAAAAATAGCCTTTTGTCTTAAGAAAGTTAACTTTTGTATTAAAAATAATCAGTGTAAGCTAGTAAGTTACTTTGTAAAAGTTCTAGTTTATATACTTAATAAATACCATATATTTACTTTATACATATATTTTATAAATATATCTATACTATTTTTTTATAATTAGGATTTTTTATAAATAGGTCCAGTTGTTTGTATTTCCCCATTTACAACAGAAGAAGAGGTATTTCTTAAATTATGGGCTTTTTGCTTATGGATTATTTTCTTTTTATAAATGCATTAGAAAAATTTATTCTATTTCTGTTAATATTTTTTAATATTATAGTTCTTTAGTTTATCATGGTTTTTATGCCAACTTCAACTTCTTGGTTTTATACCAAACTTTTGTTACTTGAACTTTTTTTTTACCTCAGTTTATCATCTGCTGCATGTTTTTCTGTTTTGTGTAATTTTTGAAGCTTCTTTGTCTTTACTTGCTACTTAAATCCCATTGAAAAAGGATTTTGAGATTTGATCAAATATATTAATAAACTTTTATCAAGTATATTAAAAATTTTGAATAACAAAATAAGACCATATGGGTTTGAATGGAATTCTTAAATTGATAAAACTAAAATGAATTTCAAGGACCAAAACTTCATTGTCAAAGTACAGGATGGCTGGAGGAGACTCTAATGTGTGTTTTAAACTTATAAGTTGTTTTTAACTATTAAACAACATCTTTATGATTGCCTTCACCTTGTTACTTATTATTTTTTGTTAGGTATAAGCACAAAATTAGTTTCAATATTTACATTCTTTGGTGACTTTTTGCTTAGTGCTCCTAAAGTGTTTAAGTCTAATCATTTTAGAGGCTAAATTTTGTTTGCTGGAATAGTATTTATGCAAAAAAAGCTCTAGGTAGCTAAATTTCTTCTATGCAACCTCAATATATCTCTACCTCAGTATCATGATGTTTTTTGCATTAGTCAGCTACACATAATTGTACCATAACTTTTCAGAGAATAAACAGTTGTTTAACATCTATGTTTAAATAATTTTCATAGGTTATAAGTCGTGTAAATAATGTACCTTATGGTTTATCAGCTTGTGTATGGAGTCAAAATGCATCAACTTTGCAAAGAGTGTCTGGAAAACTTGATGTAAGTTATTTTTTGAAACTTTTTAAAAACTATTTAAAAATGTTTTTACTGTTTTTATACGAATTACAAAATGTTTTGTTTGTATTTTTTGATTTGGTGGACATTGCAATTATGATTTGGAGTGTAATCACAATTGAGGTAATGATGAAAGTGTAAGTTTGGTTGCTAGCAAACCTTGACTTTTGTTCTGCAAACTGCAATAAAAATGATAGTGGTGTAGCAGCAGAGCGCTAGCTCATAAGCGAGAAGTTCTAAGTTTGATCCCTACTGCATCCCTAGTAGTACTGTGCTCAACCTGTTTCTTTGCGAGTTAAAGAGTTAAGAGAAGGTTATAACCACAAAAGAAGTTTCCTTAACTATAGTGACTCCCTCAGCTTTAAGTAGGTGAATAACATAAAAAAAAACAACTTAAATGGTGCTTTGTTTTCAACATGACATATTGCAGATTTCAACAGTCCAATCCTTGTGTTCATTGTAATATTTGAGACAATCACAAATGCTTTTTTTGAGAAAGGTGCAGCTTTAATGCAGCACAATACAATCAAAGATTAAGGTCCTTGGCGAGGTGTCTTCAAACTGTGCAAGCACTAACATTCATGCAAGGAGGTAGTCAAGTAGGAAATTTATGAGGCTGAATTCTGTTTGACCTTCACAGCCAAAAATGTATCATATTGGTTTTTGAAGTGGTAATTCTTTGTCTTTCACAAAGATTTTCTTGAATTTAATGTCACTTATTGACGTGATGCAAGTTACCCAGATACCTTGCCTATAACCAGGATAAAATGATTTTTCCCGGTAATTTCAAAATAACTCTTTCAAAAGTAATTTTATGTAATTTTAAATTTTTTCATTAAAAATTTTTTTTTATAAATAAAACTTATTGTTGTGATCAACTTTAATTAGTTCCTTGAATGCCATGGTAAAAAGTTTTATTATGTCCACCTTAATGACATTTGTTGAGGTTTTAAGCTTAGTCTGTAGTTGTTACATAAGTACTTAAAAATATAAACAAACCAAAATTGTGATGTTCAGCATCTAAGTAAATTATTTTGCAATCAAAATAAAAAATATTTTGGCTTGATTATTATTAGCATTATTGCTTAAAACAAAACTAATTTAAATATTTATCATGTGATTTATTATTAGAATAGTTATTATATTTAACTGAAAAAAAATAAATTTTTTTAAGGTGGTAGACCACTATTAAAAATCAAAAAAATCATTTTTTTCAATTATGATTTTTTTAAGTAATATAGCTATCGTAAATTACGAATTTCAAGTTAGTTTTATGAAAAAAAATAGCTAACATCATTAAAAACTTTTTTTTAATAAAGCGGTATAGGTAAATTTTTTAATTTTTCCATAGCAACGCTTTGTTTATTCTGTTGCTATATAGCTGAAAAGGAAATTGTATCATAATTATAGTATATATTTTTTATATAAAATACCAGATGTGGTGATTTCAACTTTTAAACTACTTTTTGTTTATTGATTAATACTTTTGGTGCATTTGGCTACATGAGTTTTATTGAAATTTTTAACTGTTGCTGTTTTCTGCATCACTCTACATTTATCCTATCACTTTGATTAAATAATATTAGTAATGGAAAGTAATGGAAAAAAAGAAAAAAAAATTAAACAAGGCATCGTAAAATACTTATTTAAACTTTTTAAATAAGTATTTAAAAAGTTTAAATAAGAAATGGTATCTAATTTGTATGAACTAAAATTTGAATGTATCATAGCAAAAAAAAATTTAAATGGACATGTGTACATACAGATCCAGCAGTAAATAATCTGTAAAACTTTTAAATAATGGTTTTGTAAATAAAAATAATAGTTCTACTAATTATGATCAGTTCAATGTTACAAATGACTGCTACATATATGACACCAACATATAAACACCAACATATGAGATGGAGTATTAGCTGCCATTTTTTGCTATCAAAAACTTCCTAGAATGTAATTTTTATATTGTAAACTTTTATGATGCTCAAAACTATATGGCTTATAAAACTGTCTCCTAATTTTATTTAGAAGTTTAATTCTACCAAAATTATAAACAAACCAGCAGCAATGAATTTTTAATGTTTATTTATGTACAATATTAGTTTTTTGAGAAATGGGTAAAGAATACCGTAGTATTGAAAGGTTTTGTGGTTTTATGAACATGTTTGATCCCATAAAGAAATTTTTAAATTAGTTAAACTATAACTATACATAGCTGAAGCTATGCTGCAGCGATCATCATGCATCAATGCTGCAGCGAAGAAGCTCTAAAAATAAGTTTATATTCTGAAAATAAAACCTTTTAAAACAATTGTTAATAAAACATGTCTTTTAAAACAATTTTTTTATAATTTTCTCTACTTTTACTCCACAACACTTTTAATATAAGTTGATATTTGTCAATAGGCTTTTTATGTGAGTTTTAATATTTGTTTGAAAAATTTTATTCTTTTTTTTGTTTGAATGTGTTTTTCTCAGTTCTCTAAAATTCACGACTTTTTATTTTATTTTATTTTACTTCACCTCCTCAAGGCCGAGAAGGCCACTACAGACGAGGAGGCTACTTATTTTGTGGCTATAACCCTTTCTCAACTCTATAACTCCGAAACACGAACCTTGACGAACAAGGCCGCTGCGCAGAGAAACGAGTTGAGCGCGGTACTACCAGGGACTTGCGGTGAATATCTCAAGCGGTACGACTTGCGGTGAATATCTCAAGATTTTATAAATCAATTTCCATGAAATTTTCAGAAGTTATTCCTTTTGTTGTTATGGATGTCCCCTACCACATTTATGACAATACGATAATCCAGTTCAAAGACTTTTGATCCCAAATATGGTCAAAAACACCTTATTTTTTGATTGCCAAGTGTTTTTCTTATAAAAAAAAAAAACTGTTTAGTAAATTTTTTTGATTTTGGTACAGGATCTTCTTTATTGTATTAAAAGCAAATTTAGAAAATTTCAAGTTAATAGCTTTAATAGTTTTTGTAATAATCATTGCAACGAAATGATGATATTTTGGGGTTTCTTGGACCAAATTTCTGAAATTTAGCAATCTGATGAGCATCATTTTCTATCAGTAAAACATATTAGTTTGCTGTAAAAAAATTTAAGTGTGCAAATGTTATGTAAAGGCCGTTTTCCACAAGACAAAATATTTGCTCGAAGCGAATTTTTTTTTTGCTATTATGAAATGCTGTTTTGATTTCCACTTATTTTCTTTTGTGCTACTTTTTTTTTGTTATCAACAATAAAAATGGCAACAATAAGTTTACACTGTATGTTTAACTAAAACCAATTATTACATTTTTTACATACTTTCTACTTCAAAACACGGGAAAATTTCTTTCCATTCAATAATTTTAACATTTTTGTCTTTATATGTAAGATGTTATATCATTTTGTAATATAATAATTTAATATAAAGTTTTTTATAAGAAAGTATATGAAAATAAATGCTTTACTTTGAAATAAACATTTCTGTTAAAAAACTGCTACTGCAAGAACAAACAGCAGGTTTAACTCCATGTGGGTTTTTTTTACAAAAAGGTTTAGCTTCAAGTGGCCACTCAAAGATAAACCTTCTTGCAAAATGTAACTTTCAGAATTGACATAGTGAAAATTTACATTTTTAAATTCTTGATCAAATTCTTGAAGATAAAATCTTTAAATCTTGCTCCTTATTTGATGAATTTACTAATGCTTGCCAATGTTCGTTAAGTTCATAGAAAATCGATAAGAATGCCAGGTTGAGAACTTTGTACCTTTGCCATTTTAAAAACAATGTGTATTTGCTTTTTTTACTGTTGACATCACGTGATATAATATTTAAAACTTGATTGGTTTATGCTTATGGAGATTTGTAAAAAGTCAAAATAAATCAGACCTTTTTTTTTTTGCAACAACGTTTATGTTTGAGTAACCACTTGAAGATAAATCTTCTTGTGAAGTGTTACTTTCGTAATTGACAGTTGTATTACGTTGTATCAGCATAATTGCCAGATATGTTTTATCTGCGCATGCTTATTGATGAAAAAGTTTGTTTCACACAAACATTTCATCTTATGGAAAACAGCCTTAAACACACACCTTTATGGTGTAAATTATATCTATAAATTTTAAATGTTTAATCAGTAGAATTATAGTTGACTAAATGTTATACATTTATAGATACAAGATGAATTAATAGGTAAAAAAAATTTTAATGCAAGCCAAGTTATTTAAAATAAATTATTTGAAAAATTTACTTCCTGAATTCTCTATCTATAAAAATTGTATTGCCCTGTAAAAAAAAATGTATGTTTTTTAGTGATTTGACATTTTAAAAAGTTTTTTTTACAAAAATGTTTTTTTTTTTTTTTTTCAGGTAGGAACAGTTTGGTGTAATTGCTGGATGATTCGAGATTTGCGCATGCCATTTGGTGGAATGAAAATGTCAGGCTTGGGAAGAGAGGGTCAAGATTACTCATTTGACTTCTTTATGGAAAAAAAAACAATTTGCATGCAGTTTTAATCGATAAAATTTTATTGTTTATATAAGTTTAAGAAAAAAAGTTTTTATAAAATTGAATTATATTTTTACAGAAGATTGAAAATTTGGTTTATGTAGAAAAAGGAAATTTCTTATTTTTGTTTAGTTTCTATTTTCTTGATTTTTATTGTTTTTACTGTTGTTCTACTATATCAACGTCTTCGAATTCAAAAATTTTTTATTTGAAATTTAATAATTTACATAATCTTTACTTTCTACATATCTTATAATATAAATTAATAATTTCTAAAAAGCTATTCAAATTAATGAGGAATTAAATTACTTAATCAAGAATTAGAAGTAATAATAAATAAAAGGAATAATGAATTTAAAATGATAATTGATCTTCATGGTTTAACATGGTTTTTGTTCATTATCTTTAATTACGTAGCATTAAGGGTTGTTACATTTTGATAATTAAAGTAAAATAATATTCTTAACAAAACTTTATATTGGTTATAAAAATTATGTTATGTATAATAATCTTAAAATGTAAAAAATTTATGGTTTGGTGTGACTAAGTATTGTTTTTATGAAACTTTATTTGAATAGCATCATGTTTGTTAAATTAAAACATTTATTTTAGGTATATTAGGGTATTTTTCAAATGATATTCCAGACACTTCTTTCCATCTCCATTCCACCAACTAATATAGCTTTAAATATTTTTCTTTTGATTATGTGTATTTATCTTTTATTGTTGATTTTTTTTTTTTTTGATTAATATTCTTTTATTAGATAATAAATTAGTTATCAGTAATTTTTGTTCAAATAAGCTTTCAAAATATAAAAAAATAATAAAATGATCATAAAAATTCTTAATAAATTTTTAATAATCACAATGATGCTATGTAATTATATTTAATAACAGTTTATAAGTTTATACTTAAAATTTTAGTATATAAATTTGCCAAATGGTCACACACGAGCAATGAATGCCTGAGAGAAGAATAATAAAGAAAAGTTAGTTTTTAACTTAGCAAGTTTAGACAGTTGTCCAATCAAAAATAAAGCTAATAAAGCAACACTAAGTTTATTTTAACAATGACAAATATAAAATAGACAAATCACATAAACA